GAAATTCAATTTCAAATTATATTTGGTAAGTTAACTTTTTTTTTTTTTTAAGACAAAATATTCCAAGAAACACTTAATGTTTGAATTCCTAATGTGCCCCCCCCTCCCCCCCCAAGGTGATACATAAACATTTTTTAAAATTACTACAAAAAAAAAATCGATATTAAACCCTAGTCCTTTAGTTTTTATCAAAGCGCCCTTATTTTCAAGTTAAAGATTAATGTCCATTCTGGAATCGATTCTGTTAATCGAACGTCTCCACACTGTAGATATACCCATGCGTTACGAAAAGAATGTCCAGTGAACGGAATCATTGGTTCAGGGTGGGGGACAGGGCGAAGCGCGTAGGTAACCGCACGAGGTGCATTGTACGTTCACGGAAGGAAGGAAAGGCAGGCAAAAAAATGCACACGATACAGGTCAGATCGATCTTCCCGTTTCGTGGGTTCGTGCGCGTCGACGCGTGCCCGAATGAACGTGTCAGGTGAGCCGGGAAACGCGTATCGAATATGCAGTAAATTTTGTGTGCCCTTTTGGACGGGGCAATCGTTGGTAGTTCTATATTCTGTAACAGCGGGGCGAGGTGTGTTCTAGGGTATCGATAACGTAAGCTTCTTTGCTCGACCGGAATTAACCCGTTCGCGGATCCACCTAGAGGCAACGAACGCTGTTCATTCTTCCACGCAATTAATACTTTTCCAAAATGAGCAAATATTAGGTTGTCCTAAAAGTTTCTTTCGCGAGTTGCATTCAATTATTTTTTATGGCAGTGTTTATATAAATAGACAATCTAATTTCTTAAACATTTGACAGTAATGGAGCGAAATGAATTGTACACAATTTTGTAATGTACCATAAAACATAAAATATTGTGCATGAATGAATTATTAATAAAACGTAAGAAACTTTTTGGACAACCTAATATATTAGGTGTAGAAACGTAATTCTGTACTCTTTACATTATTATTTATAACGTTAGTTCATATAGAAATATCAACTGACCATTTCGTCATGTTAGCTGTATCAACCTTCGTAGTAGTGAAAACACAGATTGCTTCGACATTTAGTCTTATAACTAAACGTTGCCTCGATAACTTGGACGAAAAAGGAATGCGTAAGGAGAAAACCAAACACGCAATCGAAAACGCAATTTCTCGTCTCCTGTCGTATCTGAATCGTGCGCATAGGCGCGTGACCGTGAAAACAAGGGATCGATCTCTCTATACATGTACATTCACCTTCCTTTAAGGTTTCATTACGACCTACAAGAAAAATAGCTGAACCATTGCGTGTTTTCCTCTATGCGTTCTTTCGTGACGAAATACGAGCAATTATTTACAACATAAATAAAATATATCTTTAACGATGATTGATAATCATGCTCGAGAAAAAAGGAAAGTGTTACAAATGTATGTATCTTCGTTTTTTTCTCTCTCATCTTTTAGATAGGATTAGTAACTGTACCCTTTTTAAAATGGTAAAACAATGATTATTCTACTATTTGTCCAATGATGTACTTACAAATGTACATAATCTATTTCGTTTCAATTTTACAATTATTACAATAATATTTATCACACATCATTATACATCAATTACATTAGTAAATTTCGTTGTTCCCGGAGATGAGACATTCGAGCTAAACACTTATGTCGTCCTTTCAAAGAGGACAATCGAATGCAAAGGGTTAAATAATGTCTCGGTATACTCTAAGATATCCTTGCGTATTGCTATACATTGAAAATGAATAATCGCGTTCTTTCGTAGCTCTCTACGAGTTAGAAACTCGCTAGGTCAGTAGTGACTTGTGAAGTGGAAAACTGAGTACCGGTCTCGCACACGAGCTCGATCGTAATACGGATGATTTAAACGTTGTAATTCGCTCCCTATCTTCGCGCATCCGGTCTGTTACCGCGTTGCGCGTGCTCGTTGGCACGACGGTGCGTGATATAACAGCCAATGCGCGTTAAACGATAATTTAAGTCTGTCTCTATCGTATACCTAAATGATGCTTTACAATTCAGATGTACAACTTCATAAAGATACGCGGCTTTCAGGTATCCGTCTCTCAAACAAAACCGATTAAATCCACAAAGGCTAATTCGTACAGAGATTGACTTTATGAGGTTTAACCTCTTGAGGGATATTGGCACGTACGTGTACGGTTGACTTTACATCAAAATTATCCGTTATTTGCAATCTCGATACCCCTTTCTTCATGAAAAAGTACTCCATATTAAAGTAAGACAGCATATTTATATGTTAAAATATGATATATATTTTATTGTATTTCAACATCTTATGCATCTTTACATCTCAAAGAAGATAATTTGATAAAACACCTGCCAATACACGTCCCTGGTTTGCCGGGATAAGTATCGCAGTAATATCTCGTTATCTTTTATTGAACTTGTTTGTCGAGAGTAGATGTTGCAATCTTTCTCAAGTCCTGTAAAAATAACATGCATCTTTCCATTCAAATGAATTCCATTACCGCGAATGTCAAGCTTAGATTGACACCCTCAGGGGCTGTAGTTGAACTTAGTCTCAGCTGCAGTATGGGTTTGGCGAATCTGAGGCACCCGAGCTTCTTGTACGGCCAAGGGATGTACAAGGATAAAAATATGAACAAAGTCTAAAGGTCGATTCAGACTATACGACACGTACCGGCAACGACACGTACCGGCACCGACACGACAAAACATTAAAATACGCGTTTAAAGGTCCATTTACACATATCCGTAGCGTGTCAGTTCAGTATTTGAAACGTATCAGTAACGTCACGGAGCGGTGTCGGACGTGTGTGAACATGCCCGTTAAAAAACAACGGAAGAATATTTAAAATCACTGACACTGATGGAACATTACGGAACTGAACGGATACGGAACTGACACGTTACGGATATGTGTAAATAGACCTTTAATGGAACTATTCACACTGTTCCCGTTGACGGAACGTACAAGTCGGTGTCTGTTAAGTGTGAATAGTTCCATTGAAACGCGTGTTTTAATGTTTTGTCGTGTCGATGCCGGTCCGTGTCGTATAGTCTGAATCGACCTTAAACGTGGTCGAATAAATCGTTCTCGATTTCAAATTTGGCCTTTTTCGGTAAATCGTCGGCATTGAAACCGGTGTGTGCCGCACGTTGCTCGTCTATTCCAGGAGTTTAGGCGTGCGATCGACCGCTACCATCTCCAACCACTCCTACACGCACAGCATCGGAGTCGGTCCGCGTACGAGCTCGTAACCCATTCGTCGTGACTGTCGGGAGACGTTCGTTACACCGGCCGGATACCTGCAGATTAGCTTGGCTTTACGTAGGAGAGTACCGCGGAGTGGGGAAAGCAGAGGACGAAAGTACGAGGGAACGATATCGCGAAGGAAAGTAGGCGAGGAATACGGCGGGGGAGTTTTTCGAAACGAAGGCGTGCACTCACCGAGAGGAAGAACGAGCGTAGGACAAAGTAGTAGATGAATTCGGGTCGAATGGATCGGGAGAAAAATGAAACAGGCTAGACTAAAACCGCCGGGGAGTAAATAAGTGCAAAGGAAAGCGGAGCGGAACGCAACGCACTGTATCGGCGGACGAGCACGCGGGCGAATGAGCTGCTCGAGTGCGCATGCGCCTTGTCCCCGGCAAGCCCCCACCACGCGTGTCCGGCCGCGTGGCGTCCTGATCAATTGCAACGTTGCCGTGTCCGCATCTGACCCGGAGAAGAAGGGAGCGAGAGAGACGAGACGAGACGAGAAGCTCCCCGGCATTTTCGTTTCTCCCCCCACCGTCGCAGCCTACCTATCCTTACCGCTCACCCTGCTGACCTAGGGGAATACCCTTTCCTATCCCCACCGCTGTAGCACGTGGAGACGCGCCTCTTTGAATTTTTCATACCTTATCGACCTGTGGATTCAACCGTCGTCTGTACGCTGGCGAGATGCGTCCAAGAAAATCCAAGAAAGATCGAGAGGAAAGGGACCGATGGAAGTGCAACGAAACGTTGACGTGTTGCGCCTCGGTGCCTCCGACTCGGCTAGTTACCGCTTTCCTCGTTGTCGCACGCTGTCGCGTTTGTCGGTGACATTGCACGCACGGAGAAAGGAGCAACGTGAATGCTCTTCCAGGATGACGCGCATTCGAATTCGAAAACGTCTTGCACTTGTCCAAGCTGTTGAATCTCTGTTCTTGGTACGCGGCACAGTAATTCTAGTCATTTTTTAGCTTTATTTTCTATTCGGATATTATTTTATACGAGAGGGGAAGTATAGCCTATTGTTCAACCTTTAACTTCACGTTTTTTTTTTGTTTTGTTGTTTTTTATTGAAATATATTCAATAAACGATTACGAAATTCTGTTTCTGTGGAGGTGTGTAGGTTGATGTTATATGTAACTTGGTCTTTGTTTTCCTTGGGAATGATTTATCAGAAAATCTATGCCATTGAACTTTGGGAAAGTTTGATTAGAAGGTGAGGGGATATTCGTGTAGGAGGCGCCACGTTTTATCTCAGGTGTGGTTTGGTAGAAAATCGTAAAAATTTGGTACATTCATTTTTTGAAATATTCTGTGCCTATAGATATGTGTATATCTGTATCATACATATATGTATATACGTGTATATCTATATGATACATATATGTATGTACATGTATATATGTGT